GAATCACGGAGTCATGGAGAGTTTTGGGGTGGAAGGGACCTTAAAGATCATCCATTTCCAATCCCAATACCTTCCACTGTCCCAGGGTGCTCCAAGCCCCATCCAGCCTGGCCTTGGACACTCCCAGGGATGGGAAATCCACAGTTATGGAATGGAATGGAATGGAATGGAATGGAATGGAATAGAATAGAATAGAATAGAATAGAATAGAATAGAATAGAATAGAATAGAATAGAACAGAATAAGGAATAGACTGGAATAGACTAGACTGGACTAGACTAGACTAGAATAGAATTATGAATAGAATAGACTAGACTAGACTAGACTAGAACCAAGTAGTTGAGCTGGAACTGACCTACAAGAACCATCCAGTCCCAGCTGGAATATTTCTGTAGGATTTTTGATCTCTCAGAATTATTTYATTTCTCATCCTTCACCAGCTGATATCTGCAACCTGGTTTCACCTTTTCTCTATGATGAGTAGAATGGTTTATACAGAGAATTTTTAACATTTTTTAACACTCAGAGGAAAGGTGTTAGCATCCCTTCCAGTGATGCATTTAGATAACATTTCTGATTAATTAAACACAGCAGCCAAATTTCAGTGATTAGATAAACATTCTCTAATAATTAAGGTTATTTTCCTACAGTTCTTCTTATATTGTGCTTCAGTCACAACATTTAATTATTTGTTATTTTCTCTTTTGACTTTCATATTTATGCATTTACCTCAGAGATCTCTTGACCTTTAAGAACTTTTCTTTCTGTTTCAAACCTCTTTTACCTTCTTGACAGCCCTGCTTCTCTCTGGGATCACACATTTGCTTGAAAGAACCCCGGTGATATTAATAATCCATTACTAAATCTTGATGTTGAATGTTGTTATTTTAAATTTTTTTTTAAAAAAACCTGAATTCTGATTTGTCCTATTTGAACACTCAGTCTCTCCCTCTTTGCTAAACTTCTAAGTATCTCATTTTCTACATCATCTTCATCAGAATGGAGAATCTTAATTTGCATCTTAAAATTAGAATCTTAAATTGTGTCACCCTCTGCCATAAAGGGATCAAACTTGGATTGGAAAGCAAAGATGGACTGGAAAGCAAAGATGGATTGGAAAGCAAAGATGGACTGGAAAGCAAACATGGATTGGAAAGCAAAGATGGATTTTGGAGTTTCTCCCCTAGGGATGCACCAAGGGCATGGGCAGATGTGAAATTCCAGTTTTCAGGGAAAAATCAGCCGTATGCTTTGTGCTTTCAGAGTACGAAATCGAGAGATCCTTCTTCCTGAGGATGAAATGCGTCCTGGCCAAGAGGAATGCAGGGCTGACATGCAGTGGCTACAAGGTAATTTATACAGATTTCTTTTCTACCCCTCAAATATTTGACAATTGACCAGTTTGTTTATTTGGGTGTTTGTTTCATTGGGTTTTTTTTTACACATGTGGAGCTGAGAGCAAAGTTTGTGATGAAAAGGAACAAAAAAATCCCMAAAAATGCCACTCCCCATTGCAGATCCCTGCAATAATTCAAATCTAAACTTTGGGGCTCATTCCCTCATCTCGGTCCCTGTTCTTCCAGGCTGGGAATCACCTGGAGCCCAGCCCTGGAGCTGCCAGGAGAGCACAGAGCTCRGCCTTATTCCCCCATGGAGCTGGAGGCAGGTGAGGCAGGAGTGCAGACACAGGAATTTGGAATTTTTCCACATCCCTGAGCAGYCACCGAGTTGCACAAAGCACCTCCTTGGCCTCAACATTAAAAAAACCCAACCACTGCCATCACCTCAGTGTGGAATTGTACTAAACCACCACTAAATCTGTTTATAAGTGATACCCTTTGCATTATATATATTTTTTTTGGTGTGAAATCAGAAGCCATAGCAAATGCTGAAGTAGTAGAATAACTGTCATTTGGGTAGTTTTTATTTTCAGTTTTGTACGTAGTTTTTATTTTCAGCTCTGCAGTTGTTTTTATTTTCAGCTTTGCAGTTGCTGTTATTTTCATCTTTACAGGCAGTTTTCATTTTCTGATTTTCAGGTAGACGTTATTTTCACCTTTGCAGGTTGTTCTCATTTTCAGATTTTCAGGTAGATCTTATTTTCAACTTTGTAGGCAGTTTTTATTTTCAGATTTTCAGGTAGTTTTCATCTTTAGTTTTGCAGGCAGTTTTCATTTTCATCTTTACAGGCAGTTTTTATTTTCAGCTTTGMAGTAGTTTTTAWTTTCASYTTTGCAGGTAGTTTTTATTTTCAACTTTGTAGGCAGAGATTTTTTTTTTCAGTTTTGCAGGTCTTTTTCATTTTCAGGTAGATTTGATTTTCAGCTCTGCAGTAGTTTTTATTTTTAGGTTTGCAGACAGTTTTTATTTTCATCTTTACAGRTARTTTTCATCTTCAGATTTTCAGGTAGATCTTATTTTCAGATTGTTAGGCAGATTTTATTTTCATCTTTAYAGGCAGTTTGTATTTTCAGTTTTGCAGRTAGATTTTATTTTCARATTTTCAGGTAGATTTTATTTTCRGCTTTGCAGGTTGTTTTCATWTTCAGATTTTCAGGTGGATTTTATTTTCAGGTAGTTTTTATCTTCAGTTTTGCAGGCAGGTTTTATTTTCATCTTTACAGRMGGTTTTTATTTTCAGCTCTGCRGTASTTTTTACTTTCAGCTTWGCAGTATTTTTTRTTTTCATCTTTACAGGTAATTTCRTTTTCAGATTTTCAGGTAGATCTTATTTTCAGCTCTGCAGCAGTTTTTATTTKCATCTTTACAGGTAGTTTTCATCTTCAGATTTGCAGGAAGTTTTTMTTTCCATCTTTACAGGGAGTTTTTATTCTCAGCTTTACAGGTAGTTTTTACTTTCAGATTTTTGGGCAGGTTTTATTTTCAGCTTTAAAGCCAGGTTTTATTTTCAGCTTAGCTTTTTCTGCCCTTTGAGGGGCCAGTCCAGCTCTCCCTCCATCAGGGAGGGCAATTCCCACTCATTCTGGTGGGGATTGGTTTTGAGTCGTTCAGAACTCAGAGTGTGGAGGATGAGCAGAATCATCAGAAGGAACACACTCGAGGTGCAGACACGGCTCTGTCTGTTTGCTCTCCTCCCTACCTGCCTCACTGACAATTCCTCATCACCCCCAGCCCTGTTTGCTCAGCTGCTGCCCAGCCAGAGTGGTTCTGTCCCAAAGCTGAATCTGAAATCAGGAAAAAGAGTAGAGCCCGCAGTTATGCTGTCTCTGGGCGGCTTTGGGGGGTTTGGGGGTTTTTTTAATTCCCAGTTATCGCTGTTAATCACAGGCATTGCTTCCTTTCACTCACTGTTAAAAGTTTGTGCAGTGAAAATTAAAGGATTCTCTCACCTGGAGAGATGTCAGGCCAAATTTATTCCCTTGGACTGTGCTTGGAGTCAGRACTTCATTTTTAAGGAATCACCTCATTAGCTGAAGCACAGAAAAAACCCACAGAGGAGGTGATGTGGGAACTGAGATCTGCTGAGACATCTTACTGTACTTTTATTGACATTTAAATTTAATCATTTGATAACTGGAGAGGAGAAAAGACATTGTACAGGAGGAGCCTACACAGGTGATGTTTGGTGGATTGTTCAGAGCACTAAATACACCAAAAATTAATTCCTTTCCACTGGACTCAGTTAAAATCCAAATAAACAGAGAAATTAAGCTAAAGGATGAGATATTGCTGCTGCTTGGAGCAGAAAATTGGCAGGAGCRCTGGTGATTTCTGAACATCAGCAGCACACTGAATCCATTTCATATCCTAAAATAGTCCCCAGGTTCCATTTCCCCCTCCTCCTTAGCTGACACTGGATTTTTACAGTCTAACACTGTCATTATCACCTCTGTGAGCAGGAATTGCGCACAGGGAGCCCGAAATCTGATCTCAGCACCCTGGGCTTGGGCACGTGTCAAGAAGCACACTCCAAATTTGAGCAGAGAACTTGAAAAATTAATTTCTTGTGCATTTGCCTAAAGATCGGTTCTTATATCAGTTATTGTATCAGTTAATTTTTATTGCATTGTGGTGCATCACACTAGATTTTCAAAGTGCCTGTTTTACATAAGGCACTTTACATAAGAATAATAACTCTTTAAGATCTACATGATTTTATTCATCTTTGGGTGTGTGTGGGAGAGAGGTGGACATTTGAAAAAAAAAAAAAAAAMRSMAMSKYCMRRAWTTTTTTAGYAATGAGCAGGAATTCTGTTCTACAAGTATCTGTATTCTGTATCTATGAGAAATCAGTATCGAGGAGCCTAAAGTGTTAATTAGAAAGCAATTAGCCAGTCCCCAGAGAGAAGCTGCTTTAATACCGGATTAATCATGCTGTCAGCATACACAAAACTGCACTTAATCTGTTTTAATCCCTATTTACCAATTAACTGCCATCAACAGCCTGCCCAGAATTTAATGGTATAGGGGKGACGCCTTAGGATTTCAGCTTCTCTATTTCCATATCTCTGTACCYCTGGAATTCTTTAGTGTTTAACTCCAGACTCCACAGACAGTKCTGAGCTCCTGCTCTCCCATTTTTACACAAAACAATTCTAGTCAATGACTGCATTGGCTGCAGCTGCAATTGGAGGATTCAGCCCCGAGGTGCAAATGGACAAAAGTGAGAAAGGGTGAAAAACCCATGAGCCATTGTCCACTGTGGGTGCAGCCCCTGGCTGGGCTGGCTCTGGACATTGACTCCAAGTTGGCTTTCCCCAATTCTCTGTTGTTTCCATCTCTTGGGGCCTGGCACAGGGAAGTGTCCTTGAATTTGGGGCTGCAGAGGAATTGTTTTGTGTAAAAATGGGAGAGCAGGAGCTCAGCACTGTCTGTGGAGTCTGGAGTTAAACACTGAAGAATCCCAGGGCTACAGAGACATGGAAATAGAGAAGGTGAAATCTTAAGGCATCACATGAAGGCACTTCAATAAGTAGAAATGCTTCTTATCATCTTAATTTTGTCCAGCCTCTGCTAAGKTAAGCCAGATTTAGGCATAAGAGGGGTTATCTTTATAAAGATTGAGACTAGGTGAGCAGCAGATTTGGAGCTTTTCCATCAGACCCTGAGTGCGTTTTTCCCCTTTTTCCAGGTGATCCACTGCAGYGGCTACCTGAAGATCCGCCAGTACATGCTGGACATGTCCCTGTACGACTCCTGCTACCAAATYGTGGGGCTGGTGGCCGTGGGCCAGTCGTTACCTCCCAGTGCCATCACCGAGATCAAGCTCCACAGCAACATGTTTATGTTCAGAGCGAGCTTGGACTTAAAATTAATATTCCTGGATTCCAGGTAAGCAGCTCTTTCATTTCCAGCCATGAACTGCAGCTGTTTCCGAACAGGGCAAAACATCCGTGAGAAAATAAAGCAACCCAAAATAGATCTGGGACTTGGAGCCACGTGAGCCTTCAAAGGCTGCTGGATAGACCTGAGTTTGTTTGGAATGCCAAGAAATCAGAGCCTGTGCTGTTAAACCTGGAGTTACCTGCAGTTTCAGGGTCAACTGAAGCCTTCTCTCTGCGAGGGTTGAGCACAGTGATGARTTTTGACCTGAAAGGACATAAAATTTAACATGCAAAGCAGGCAAAAGGAAGGAGGGTGTACCAAAAAAATCCCAAAAAATAAACTACAACCCCAAAAGCTGAATACTGAGATCAAAAGACTTTCTGGGATCATCCAGAAAGCTTTTGACAGAGCAGTGAGGAAAGAGTGTTCTGTGTTTTAGTGCAATGCTTTCATCATGAAACCAACAATGGTAGGGTTGTTAGAATGAGAATTAATTCCATTGGGGACTACACACAAAACCAGGATCTTAAACAAAATTTTGGGAAAACCAGGATCTTCTTAAACAGAATGTTGGGAAAACCAGGACGTTCTTAATCAGAATTTTGGGAAAAGCCAGACTTTCTTAAACAAAATTTAAGGAAAACCAGGACCTTCTTAAACAGAATGTTGAGAAAAACAGGACCTTCTTAAACAGAATTTTGGGAAAAGCAGGACTTTCTTAAAGAAAATTTTGAGAAAACAAAGACTTTCTTAAAATTTGGGGAAAACTAGAACCTTCTTAAACAGGATTTTGGGGAAAACAGCKGAGGAAGGAGAGCCTTGCCTCCCCTCTCAGCTGCTGGAGCTCAGAAGAGCACAGCACCAGACCTGAAATTCACTTCTCTGGTTTTGGAGCAGGTGCCTTGTAGGATACAACTGTGTCCAGTGAAGTCCAGGAGACCTGGAAGGAAAATCCCAAAAACCCAAAGTATTGACGAGATGATTTTTCTTCCAAAATCCTTTTCTGCATGACCCACATTCCCCCATTTCCTCCAGGCTGGATGTGCAGGAAGCAGAGAATACAGAATCCATGCAGTGATTATGTGACAGTCTGATCCAAGAGAGTGGAGCTCAGCTGTGCAGGAAGAGGCTTTTCYCCATGCTCAGTCCAGCAGCAGCGGCTCCATCAGCTGCTGGGACACAAAGAGCTCCTCATTTCTGGAGCCCTTCCCACGGGTTTGGCACGGGCTGATCCATGCAGCGGCTCCAAAGAAGAGCGAGGGGGTCGGCAACATATCTGAGTGTGGGGAGAGGAAATGAGGGSCTGGGAGGAACTGCCTGGAGCCAGGATGGGCCACAGGCCAGGCAGAGGCACTGATAGGAGCAGGGTTGGACCCAGGGCTGTGTTTGCCAAGGAGCAGAATGGTGTCATCCACATTTGGGACAAGAAGGGCTTGAAAATTTCACCAAATCCTTTTATYGCTACCAACTGAGCAAACCAAGTTGCTCAAAACAGATGAAGCCTAAATCCAGCTCACCTAAAGCAGAGGCTGGACAAAATTCAAAAAATCCAAAGCAGTTCTGTTCATGRCAGGGCCTTCAGGGSCATTCAGGGCAGTCCCRGCCCACCCAGGGGCTGCACCCACAATGGTCAATGGCTCACGGGTTTTTCACCCTTTCTCACTTTTGTCCATTTGCACATTGGGGCTGAATCCTCCAATTGCAGCTGCAGCCAATGCARTCATTSRCTCCAAGTTGGCTCCCCCCAATTCTCTGTTGTTTCCATCTCTTGGGGCCCGGCACAGGGAGGTGTCCTTGAGTTTGGGGCTGCAGAGGAATTGTTTTGTGTAAAAATGGGAGAGCAGGAGCTCAGCACTGTCTGTGGACTCTGGAGTTAAACGCTAAAGAATTSCAGGGGTACAGAGACATGGAAATAAAGAAGCTGAAATCCTAAGGCATCACAGGGGCATATCAGGAGCTAGAAAAACTGGTTTCAGGCTTGTTCTGGTATCCTTGCACTGGGAAATGTCACTGGATGTTCAGAGATGGCAGTGGACAGCACAAGACCCATGGGGAGGAGCAGTTCAAAATCCCGTTCCTGACACCTGGCACGGAATTGAACACTCAGGGCTTCATTCACTGGGGTCACAGGAAGAAGGAGACACTCACTTCCCTCCAAAGTGAACTGCTCATTGTGATTTTGGTGTTGCCTTCACTGTCAGGTCTTTACAGAGCCTTTGAGGAGCTCAGAAGGCCAGGACTGACCACTGGGACATGCTCTGCTTCCCCCTGTGTGTCCTGTGACCTGCAAAACACAACCTGCAGGGCCCAGGCCTGTGGAGGGCTTGACTTTATGTTAAAGAAGTAAACCAGCTGAGTTTATTTCCAAATTCCAGCTTTTMCAGGATTTGGGTGTCCTAGAAATTGTCAGTGATGGGGTTTTATTTTTGTCAACAGCCTCCTAGTGAGACTGCACCTCTGGGGAAATCCACCCTCAGATTTGTGGTGTTTTGGTTGGGTTGGGATGAACTGTTCCCGTACCCATCAGGGAGCAGGATGGAACTACAACCCTGGGTTTGAGAGCATGGAAATCAGAAGAAGAATTGAAACCTTGACAGGATCTTCCACCAATACTTCACCATGGGGGTCAGGTTCAGTGAGGATTTGGGATGAGCACACCTTGCAGAGGAGGAACACAAGTGTATATCCATTGTATCTTTATGTTTTGTCTTTCAGAAGAATCCAAACCCCTAACACTCTCAAGAAAATCCCCAGTTTCTGGGGGCTCCACAGGGCTGTTTAGAGACAGGGTGTGGGTAGAGAAGATGTGTAAAAGTCACAAAATTAAAAAAAAATAACCAATCAAGATGTACCTTATCTGCAATCCCACAAAGACATGTGTTATTTGAAATCCCACTCCATTTCTGTGGACATTCCTGTGTTATTYCCTGGTGCTCTGCATCCTCTCCATGGGTAAAGCTCAGATGTGGAACATCCTTTTGAAATCCATGTCCTGACCATCCCCGCTTGGCTTGGGGCTTTTAAACTGGATTCCTTCAATCTGAACTGGAGGAGAGCCTTCAGGAGGACCCCTCAGACACTCCAAATTTAATAAAGATTTCACTCCACAGCCTAGACCAGAGCAAAACTCCCAGAATTAAAATGTGCAGCTGCATCTGGTGCTGCAGTAGATCCTCAGCAGGGACACTTTTACTGCACACCTCACCTGCTCAGGCACTGTCCCTTGTTGATGTAGACCAGTCTTTGGTACCTCAGTTCTGCCTTTTTTAGGCAAAGAAAGCTAAGGACATCACAAAACACCCCCAGCAACCTTGGCTAAAAAAGCCACAGTTTGGCTGAGTCACGTGTTAGGCTTTAAGGAGCTTTTTTCCCCATCAAGCTATGCTAAATTAACACAACTCCATTTGAATCATCACTTTTGACTCTTCAGGTCTGACCCAGTGTGAGTCTGTCTTGTGTATCTGGTTCTTTAACACCTACAGAGATGCTGCTCTTTCAAATTCATCCCCTACTTCTACTTGTGGGATTTTTAATTTTTTTTAGTTTTTTCTTTTTTAATAAGCCTTTCTTCAGCCTTCCTTCCCTCACCCTGTGGTCTTCACACCTCCTTGTCTTTCCACATTCCCAGCTGGAATCAGCTCCTGCTTTTTTCTCCTGTCAGGCAGCAGCCTGCATTGATCCACAGGCCATGAACACAGCTCCTGTGGCCCARCACACCTTCCACACTCACAGCTTTGCAAAAACAAATGAAAATGTGTCAGCAGCCCACAAGAGAGGTTTTATTGTTATGTGAGCAGCTCCTCGAGTGGAACTTTGTGCACAGGATCCTGCATGGCAGTGGTGAAAGCCCAAGGTGGAAATCAGTAAAAGAACTCTTTTTTCCTGCCTGTGTGTAGCAGGGAAAAGCTGCACCTTGCTTTGGCTGCCTTGAAAGGGTTTGTGTTCTTGGAAAGGTGAGGTTTTCTTTCCAAAATCAACATTTGGTCCCACAGCGTTCAGGCACCTGATCTGCTGGCACAATCAAATGTTGGGTTAATGAAACTGGATATTTCTGGAGTTTTTTATTTATTACCGATTCTGCCTTTTCCAGGGTCACAGAACTAACTGGATATGAACCCCAGGATCTGATAGAAAAAACCCTTTACCATCACGTCCACGGCTGCGATGTTTTCCACCTGAGATACGCTCATCACCTGTGTGAGTACCTGGGAGGCTGGGCTGGGAGCACAGGGAGGAGCTGGAACTGCTGGAGAGAGWCCAGRATGGTCAGAGGGATGGAGCAGCTGTGCTGGGAGGAAAGGCTGGGAGAGCTGGGATTGTTTAGCCTGGACAGGAGAAGCTTTAGGCWGAGCTCATTGTGGCCTTGCAGGGCCTGAAGGAGCCCACAGGAACCATGGAGAGAGACAATTTGCAAGGGCTGCAGGGACAGGAGCCAGGGAATGGCTTCCCAGTGCCAGAGGGCAGGGCCAGATGGGATATTGGGCAGGAATTGTTCCCTGGGAGGGTGGGCAGGCCCTGGCACAGGGTGCCCAGAGAAGCAGGAGCAGACCCTACACCAGAGATGGTGGAAGTGCTTTGCCRTAAAAGAAGCTCTATAAATACACAGGGTGGCTTCCAGGGAGCAGGAGAAGACTTTGATGGTGGTCCTTGTCCTGCCAAGGCACAGGGATGGGAATCCTGCTACAATTCCTGTGGGAAGAGTGGTGCCTCAGSATTTCAGCTTCTCAATTTCCATGTGTCTGTAACCCTGGGATTCTTCAGTGTTTAACTCCAGACTCCACAGACAGTGCTGAGCTCCTGCTCTCCCATTTTTACAGAAAACAATTCCTCTGCAGCCCCAAACTCAAGGACACCTCCCTGTGCCAGGCCCCAAGAGATGGAAACAACAGAGTTTGTTTTGTCCAGTGGCTGCCCCTGGATCCTTGACAGTGTCCAAGGCCAGGCTGGACACTGGGGCTGGGAGCAGCCTGGGACTGTGAAAGGTGTCCCTGCCATTGCTGGGCTGGCGCTGGATGATTTCGAGGTCTTTCCAACCCAAAACTTCTGTGATTCCATGAAATATTTTAAGTATACTTAGAAGTCTTGCAGACAACAAGCACCGTGCTGACAATCCAAAACAACCCTTTCCAAATCCTGACTGAAGACAGACTTTCAAAAGTTCTTGGCTTTCACTTAAGGGAACCATTAATTCTGTAAATAAACTGGATACTCAATCTGTTGTGTTTCTGGAAAGGAAAAGAATAAAAAAAACCAACTCATCTGGCCAGTTTTATCTTTGTATTTAGGGAATCTAAGCTATTTTGAAAGTTTGGAGTTGATTCTGGATGGTGATGTCTTGAAGGAAAAGAAAACCAAAAGTGCAAAAGTGAGTGAGAGGGGAAAATCTGAACTTTACTAGCCTCTGCTGTTAAAACAAAAACTATGCAGCAGCTCTGCATTCCTCTGAAATATGTTTGCAATAACCATCCCGTGTTTGAAGGGAATGCAATCCCMAAAAAAATCCTCAGAGGGACATTCATTAATAGCATGTGGATGAGGTTCGGCGAACGGATTGTCAGGAAAAAAATGACACATTTAATAATTTCCCATCTTCCAACAGAGCCACTAATCATATCTTCAAACATCTGGATCTGGGAAGGAGTTCATTCAGTAGCACATTAATTTGAAAAGCAAATTGAGGGAATAGCTGAACTCTGGATTTGGCTCGGTTTCCTGTACGAGGCAAAGATGACATCCAAAAACCGATGTCAGGGAAGTTTTTTTCCAGATTGCTCCTGTAGGCTGGAAGCAGCCAGAGTCAAACCCTGCTTTTAGGTTTCCTTCTCTGCATTAATGCTTGCTATTCATGAGGATCTGGAGTATCCAGGAGGCCGTGGCTGCATTTGGCAAGTCGGAGCCGAAATTCCAAGAGCTGAATTCCGCCGGTGGCAGGGTGTGCTACACCTGGCAAAGCAAAAACTGATCTTTGCAGGGAGTTCAGACTTATCAAAATATTACTGAGTGCTCTGGGCCACTGAAAATTGGAAAAAAACRGTGACCAGGGCACRTGGCAATGTCCTGTCAGGGCATTCYCTTTGTGGTGRCACCATCGATATCTGGATGGGACAAAATACACTCGATATTTGCAGCAGGCTATTAGAAATACCTTTATCAGCCAGCACGGGGATGGTGCCACTGGAGCTACAATCACCTCTGGAAAAGGGTTTTCCATTTTAGGGAAGCAGGATGGGTAATTCTGTGGCTGCCAGTTTGATCCATGTACGGCCCGAGTTTTTGAGACAAATCATGTTTGCTGAATTACCCACAGCATCCGTCCACAAGGAGGAAAAAAACAAAAACATCCATAGGATACTAAGAGCAGTTCTGCAGATTAAAGATAAATTATTATAAACTTTAAAACCAGAAGAAAAATGTGAGGCACGCATAGGAGTTTATGAAAGCAGATAAATCCCAAGAAGCAAAAAATAATGACTAATGCTTGGGCAAGAGTGGGAAGGGCGCAGGGTCATGGGTGGAATACCAAGAAATGGGAATTATGAAACCAGATGTAAAGTGCACCAAGTCCCTCTGGGCAGCCTTGTGAGAGCTCCCCCAGCATCCAGCAGCAAATGTCTCAGGAACATGAGCAGTAAAAGGTTGGCAGGGCTGTTGTACCATTCCATAAAGCAATCTGATGATGAAGTGTCACCTGACGCAGAAATCCAAAGAGAAACATCTTACACCTAATAAGGGTATTAGGGGAAAAATATATATATGAGTGACCTTAAACTAGGATAACCATTTGCTTTTTTAAAGAGGGGGGAAAAAAAATCCCAAACTGAAGAGCTGAAGCAACCGAACTTTGAGTGAGGCAGCACAGGGGATAAAACAAAGGAAACAGTGAGGGGAGCGACTTAGGAGGGATGTAATGAGAACATCGAGCTAGGAGGGAAATGTAGATGTGAATATTTGCCCAAGGTGTGCTGGCAGCAAAGAGAGTTTCCTGCTTGAAGCACTTGATTGGCTTCCAGCTCCACAAAAACACTCCTGGCGTTTGGAGCAGTGTTATTTATTGCCACAGCCCCATTAATACACACAGTGTTTGCCCTGAAACTGGGCCACACAAAGAACCAGTCCCTGCTCAGGATCCTGCAGTCTAAAATCCAGAGAAGAGAGGTTGTTCCAGCACAGACAAAATGTCTTTGTGCCCTCAGAGAAATCCCTTAGTCTGTACCGCTGGGAGGAGGATTTTGTGCATCCCACRTGTTGCTACATCCCTGCTCTCSATGCCTTATCRGGCTCACCTGAAACAGAGGCTGGACAAAATTCAGAGAAGAAAAATTTAAATTTATTGACATTTAAATTTATTGCMGGGCCTTCAGGGCCATTYAGGGCAGCCCCAGCCCACCCAGGGGCTGCACCCACAATGGACAATGGCTCACGGGTTTTTCACCCTTTCTCACTTTTGTCCATTTGCACMTCRGGGYTGAATCCTCCAATTGCAGCTGCAGCCAATGCAGTCATTCACTCCAAGTTGGCTCCCCCCAATTCTCTGTTGTTTCCATCTCTTGGGGCCTGGCACAGGGAGGTGTCCTTGAGTTTGGGGYTGCAGAGGAATTGTTTTGTGTAAAAATGGGAGAGCAGGAGCTCAGCACTGTCTGTGGAGTCTGGAAATAAACACTGAAGAATCCCAGGGTTACAGACACATGGCAATTGAGAARMTGAAATCCTRAGGCACCACTCTTCCCACASGAATTGTAGCAGGATTCCCATCCCTGTGCCTTRGCAGGGCAAGGACCACCACCAAAGTCTTCTCCTGCTCCCTGGAAGCCACCCTATGTATTTATAGAGCTTCTTTTAYGGCAAAGCACAGTTCCACCATCTCTGGTATAGGGTCTGCTCCTGCTCCCGCAGCAGCCAAACCTTCCGGCAGAGCAGCCTCRGATTTTAAGAAGCACCAAAAAAAAATCTACTGGGCACCGTGCCCTGCCCCAGGGTCTGGGCCCAGGACATGCCAGGGCAGCTGGACTGGGATCTGCTGCCAGTGTGGAACCCAGAATTCCGTTTTTTGGAGCGGTGTCCTTCAGTCCAGCCTTTGGATACAGTCCTGTCTGCCAGCCCAGGGCCTTTCCCGGCTCCCTGCAGAACCAGGAGCAGCCACAGCCCTGGAACACCCCAGTTCCCACAGGAACATCCGAGGGCCGGGCTGAAGGCATGGAATCCTCCCCTTGGACAGCAGCTGGGGCCACCGAGGAGTCTGAGCCCGCCCAAAGTGTCCAAGTGTCGGGTTTGCCTCCCTYCCATTCCTGAGGTTTCCTTTTCGCCATCACACGGGACAGCTGAACACAGAGCCAGATGGAAGCTGACCTCACTCACTGCCTCACTCACTGTCCCTCAGCCAAGGTCAGACTTCCCCAGATCACTGAAAAAGCAGGAGACATGGAGTCCTCGCCCATCCCTGGAGAAATATTGGTTAATCCATCTAATGAGGAAGGAAAGCCAAGCACTGAACCCCTCAGTGGTTTCCACGTCTTTTAAAACACTGTCTTAACTGCAGAGCTAAAACAGGGATTTAAAGAAACCAGCGAGGGAGGAGGAAAGCCAAAATTAGTCCCAAAGCACATGGAAGAACTTTGTTAGGGTTAGTGATCCATGACAGCATTAATTTCTCTTTCGGAAGGCTGAGCACAGCAAAGCAGTTTGAGCTGAAGGAAAACGCGCTCATTAAACTAGCACAAAGAGCTTGTTCTGAAAAAGCCAAACCACGTTCCAAAAATTACCTGCTACACGGCCTGTGCTGAAATGTGCAGATCATTTCCTGGAGCGGGACCATTTGGATTATAGAATGAATCACCAAATCAGGGAATTGTGGAATGGTTGGGGTTGGGAGGGACCTTGAAAATCATCTCATCCCACCCGCTGCCATGGGTAGGGGCACCTTCCACCATCCCAGGGTGCTCTGAGCCCCAGTGTCCAGCCTGGGACACTGCCAGGGATCCAGGGCAGGGATACAGAGCACCATCCACAATTATAGAGCACCAAGGAACAGCAAATCCTTGGCACAGAGCTGATTATTAATATTTTTAGAACAGAATCTCTGAGCAGCAGYTACCAGACTTATAACTTGGAGTGATAAAATTGCACTTTAAAATAAAGAATGGCTTTATACTTTGTAGGTGTGTTTAGGTATTTACACACACACATTCGTCATGGTTCTTTCAGCTGTAAGAACATCTGCACATCTTCATCCCATTGAGAATTCCATATAGAAAAGTAGGAATGAAAAGAATACCAGCAAGGATGAGGCAAAACGCTGATATCTAAGAGGTATCTCAAACCCCAAATATCAGTGGCTTGGTGACAGAGAGGGTGGGGTTTTGGATGTTCTGCAGGATCATGGAACCATGAAATATCCTGAGCTGGGAGGGAACCCAGGATCACCCAGTGGCACCCCTGTCCCTGCCCAGCCCCCCCAGCAATCCCAGCCTGTGCATCCCTGGCAGCGCTGTCCAAACGCTCCTGGAGCTCTGGCAGCCTCGGGGCCGTGCCCGTTCCCTGGGGAGCCTGGGCAGTGCCAGCACCCTCTGGGGACAGAAGAACCTTTCCCTGCTTTCCAGCCTCAGCCTGCCCTGGGCCAGCTCCAGCCAGCTCCCTGTCCCTGTCCCTGGGAGCAGAGCTCAGATCTGCAGACAGTTGCAGACATTCATTTTTTTGCCTTCTGAACAAACAGACACTTTGTCTTAAAATGGAAGCATTGATGCTTCCAGAAAGATCTGGCTCATTTATAAAGGCCTGATTTTCTTAGGGAGATAAACTGAGTTTGAAGGAAAGTTTTAATGTGTTGAGGTGTGCAATGGGTAGGAGAGGAAGCACTCCAGAGACGTGGCCCATGTGCTCCAGACCTTGGGGAGACCTCACTGAGCCTTTCCAGTACCTTAAAGGGGTGTAAAAAAGGAGGAAAAGGGACAATTTATAGGGGCAAAAAGTGATGGGACAAGGGGAATGATGTTAAACCAACAGAGGGCAGGGCCAGATGGGATATTGGGCAGGAATTGTTCCCTGCGAGGGTGGGCAGGCCCTGGCACAGGGTGCCCAGAGAAGCTGTGRCTGCCCCTGGATCCCTTTGAGTGCCCAAGGCCAGGCTGGACATTGGGGCTGGGAGCAGCCTGGGACAGTGGGAGKTGTCCCTGCTCATGGAATGGGAAGATTTTTAGGGTCCCTTCCAATCCCAACCATTCATGATTTAGAATTCAGTGACTTAGAGGACCTTTTAGCAAGAACCACAACTCCTGCTCTTCTGTTTCTCTCAGTCTTACACCAGGCCATTCACATTATTCACATTATTCACATTATTGTGGTCTCTCTTTGGTATTGAAATTGCAAATTCCTCATGAAACAATCAAATAAAAGAACCTCAACCCTAGGGATGACTGATGGCCAGACAGTTAATTACCAAACAATAAACAATCCCCCTGATATTATGCATTCTTTAGTTCCGAGTTAATAATAATTGTCCTCCCTGTCAGAAAAATCTTCAGTGAATACTAATTGTAAGGCCTAATAGTTTTATTTCTATTCCATTCAATAGAATATATTTCTATTTCATTTCTATTTACTTTGTATTTATTTGCTCTGCCAGGGCTGCCTGAAAGAGAGAGCTGCTGCTCAATCTCGTTATGATGGTGCTTCTTGCACCAGGAATGTCCAAGGAGAGTACAAAATCCCAGACTGTGCTCAGCCTACTCTGAGTCCTTCATTTGCAACAGAAATTCCATTTCTTAATCATAAATTTATAAAGGAATTGCTGCCACTGCTCCTTTTTTACTAACACAGTTTGTGCAGCGAGCTCAGTCTGTGATTTCCTAATTTACAATAAATAACTGATGGTGTACAAGAATAAGATGGAGTTTCCCAGAAGAATGATCCAGGGCCACACAAGAGAAGAACCGGCTTCAAAGGCTGGGTATTGTCTTCTGGTGTATCCTGAGATAAAGGCCTGGCACTGATCCAGGAATATTTGTGGCTGGATGAAATATTTGGAGATGCTGCACAACTCCTGTTACAGCACAACCTCCTGCCAAAATATCTGTGTTCACAGAGGATCCAAAATAGCTCAGGGGAATTACATGTCTGGTGAATTTATCTGTGATCTGATTCCCCTCTTTGTCCCTGTCTCTGTTTGGAGCTTCACAACCATGGAGCATTTCAATTTTACCCTTTTAAATCAATGTAGAGCTCACAGAGGAAAAAAAAAAAAAAAACCCATCACAGAATAAAATACATTGCAAAATACACGATAATCTGTCAAGCTGTGAATGAGAGAAGCGCTTCCAAATATCCCGGAAAAAATCTCAGAATCCTCAAGTCTGGAAGAGCCCTTTAGGATAATCCAGTGCCACCACATCACCCCAAAGCTGTCCCCAAGGGCCACATCCAGACTCCTCCTGAGCACTCCCAGAGACAGGGACTGCACCCCCTCCCTGGGCAGCTCATTCCAAGGCCTGACCACTCTGACAGGGAAAGAATTTTTTTATAATCTCCAATTTGACCCTCCCCTGGTGCAATTTGAGGCCATTTTCTCTCACCCTTTCAAAAGAGTTGTGTCCACTTCAAAATACTTTTGCTGCCTCRAGCTTATTTTTTTGCAGTTAAGAGTTTAAAAATTGTGTTTTGAGAAGAAACTGTAGGAGAGCAGGGTGGCCCAGGGAAGAAGATAAACCTGAGAAATTTTTGATATMTCTAATATAAATAATAATGTGATGTTATGGATCTACATAAAGGGGCAGGATAGGTAATTTTGCAGGGGGTTTATTTGAAGTTTGGTGGGAGGAGGAGATTTTAGGAAAGGGAAGGGAGGCTGACAGGACACAGGTTGGACTCAGTGATCCCAAAGGCCTTTCCCAAAGGCCTTCTGTGATTCTGTGAGGGAGAAATGCCCTTGGCTTGCAAATAAACCTCTCCAGAAAGTGACCAAGAGTTCAAAAAGCGTGAATTTGTAAAAAAAATTCTCTTTTCTGCATTCACAGTGCTGGTGAAAGGCCAAGTGACCACCAAGTACTACCGGCTGCTGTCCAAGCAGGGCGGCTGGGTGTGGGTGCAGAGCTACGCCACCATCGTGCACAACAGCCGTTCGTCACGGCCTCACTGCATAGTGAGTGTCAATTATGTCCTTACGTAAGTCCAAACACTTTGTACCATTACCTGCTCTCGCTGATCGAGTCAATCRAGTCATTCAGGGTGAAATCCTCCAGGTTTTCCTTCCTTGTGCCTTCCAGTATCGTTCTGTGCTCGTATGCTACAGCTGCTTCCTCCGTTTGTGTGATCCTCCTTTTTGTCTGAGAAAGAACATTTTAATATTAATTATTAGCATTAATATATTAATTATTAACGTTATTCTACAAATCCTCATCCTCATTGTCCAGGGAAGGCCAATGGAGCTGGGAAGGGGCTGGAAAACATCTTATGAGGGAGCTGGAGGGGTTCAGCCTGGAGCAGAGGAGGCTGTGGGGGGACCTTGTGGCTCTGCACAACTCCCTGACAGGAGGGGACAGCCAGGGGGGTCGGGCTCTGCTGCCGTGTCCCAAGGGAAAGGAGGAGAGGAAATGGCCTCAAATTGCACCAGGGGAGGCTCAGGGTGGAGATTGGCAAAGAAAATTCCCTGTCAGAGTGGTCAGGCCTTGGAATGAGCTGCCCAGGGAGGGGGTGCAGTCCCTGTCTCTGGGAGTGTTCAGGAGTCTGGATGTGGCCCTTGGGGACAGGCTTTGGGGTGATGCTGCTGGGGCTGGGGTGGCACTGGCTGATCCCAAAAGGCTCTTCCAACCCTGATGATTCTGGGATTTTTTTGATCRAAACCAACCTGACAGCTCCTGTTCTTTTCCAAGCACACGGTGGGGACAGGAGGGGAACACTGCTCCTTTCCCTTTCCTCAGGGTTTCTGGTGAGAGCCAGGGCAGAGACTAATTCCTGATTGAGCAGGATTTAATTGATGTCCATCTTTCCATCAGCAGCCCCAGCCACAATTCCAAACCAGAGGGAGCCACGGATGGCTGAGGGAACTTGCCACAGCTCAGGCTCAGAGAGAGGGGACACTTCATCCAAAAGGTGTTAATGTGGCTCCCAGCAGAATTTTTTAACAGACTTTTGTGGGGATGGGGTCATCCCATAAGATTCTCTGCCTCCTGACATCCCCAGACTCAGTGAAAACCTTGGAAAAGTAAAAATTAAAGCACTGTGAACGCTAACATGTGTTTTTACAGGAGCTATTGTGGATTTTGCTGTACGCTGGTAATCTTTTGGGCTGTTCTTTTGCAGGGATATTGAGTACAAGGAACTCCAGCTGTCACTGGACCAGGTTACCATTTCCAAGTCACAGTTTTCATGCAGGAACTCAGTACCTACCTCGCAGGAAACCAGGAAAATTGCAAAACCCAAAAGTAGTAAAATGAAGGCAAAACTCAGAACAACTCCATACCCACCACAGGTAACTTTTCCAGCAATATTTAATCACCAATTGTTCKCACAGAGTGCTTGGGACAGTGTGGAGATAATCGAGGATTGGATTTACTATAAAACCAGGATTGTCTGCCCCAGGAAATCCCTCATAAAGCAGAATAAAGTTAGACCCCGTTTTTCTTGTGGTGGAAAGTACAGGTAACACAAAGCAGCTCTGGTGAGAGATGTAAAAGCTTTGGAATATGGAGTGTGTAAAGTATTTTACCCACAAGGTTCTTTCTTGGCAAAAAGAAGAAAATCCTGGAATTTTGCTGTGAAAATTTGTKCTGGTGTGAAATGTGGGTCATTCACTGTTGGTGTGTGGAGTTCTTGATRTCAGGWRGAATTTCCTCWTGGGAAAGGGTGCTCAGGCCTTGGCAGGGGCTGCCCAGGGAGCTTTGGAGTCCCCATCCCTGGAGGTGTCCCAGGAAGGGCTGGAGGTGKCACTGAGTGCTCTGGGCTGGGGACAAGGTGGGCATCGGGCACAGCTGGGCCTCCATGGGCTGGGAGGGATTTTCCAAGCTTAATCCTGGGATTCTGTAAAATTGAACTGCTCAAATGAGTTCCCACGTGAAGGCCAAGTTGTGAAGAGAGGAACTTTAAACACACTGGTCAGCCTTGAGGCAGCAASGCCCAGCTCTGGGCACCTGTAAATAATGTTCTAAATAATCTCCCTATAAAAACCCCTCCTTTAACTCTTGGCCCCATTTTTCCCCTCTCCCCACAGCAGTACAGCTCGTTCCAAGCAGACAAGCTGGAGTGCAGCCAGGCGGGGAGCTGGCGCTCCAGCCCRGCCTCCAGCGCCGCCGCCGTCGCGGAGCAGAGCTTCCACTCGGACAGCGGCGAGCTCCTGTACGCGCCCCCGTACGGCCTGCCCTTCTCCTACCACTACGGCCCCTTCCCTGTGGACTCGCACGTCTTCAGTGCCAAGAAGCAGGTGCTGCCTGCCAAATTCGGGCAGGCCCAAGGGGCGCCCTGCGAAGTGGCGCGGCTCTTCCTGGGCGCGCTGCAGACCAATGGCGAGTGCCAGTGGCACTACACCAACCCGCTGGTGCCCGGCAGCCAGGCAGCCTCCAAAAACCTGCCCGAGCAGCCTGTCAACATCATCAGGCACAACCTGGCGCAGGGTTACGAAGGTGGGTGGTGAAAAGCTCGTTTGTAATTTGAAAACGGGTTTAGGGAATGCCAGAAATTGGAGATAACAAAGTGTGACAGGCATTGTGTTTGTGGTGTTTRTAATGATGAGAAACAACATGGACCCATGGACCCCGCCAGGCAGGTGGAAAGGGGAAGGGGTTTGTAAATATTGCAAAAATCCAGGGGTTTTAAAGCATTAGCTTGTTATGGGTTTATGTTCTTGTGAAGCACAATGAAGTGTCTGAGCCAATCACCATAAATCACACCAGGAACATGCGATGGTTGGAACCAACTGCCATAAATCACACCAGGAGCATGCGATGGTCAGAACTGACCACCTCAAATTATGATAGAAACATGAGATGGTCAGAACCAACCGCCATAAACCATGTTAAGAATATGCAATGGTCAGAACCAACCACCACAAATCACCCAAGGAACATGCAATGGTCAGAACTGACCACCTCAAATCATGATAGAAACATGAGATGGTCAGAACCAACTGCCATAAATCACGCCAGGAACATGCCATGGTCAGAACTGACCATCATAAATCACGCCAGGAACGCGCCATGGTCAAAACCAACCATGATACACCCTGGTGTGAGCTCTCACTGGTTCTCTCTCTTGTTTTCCAGGGTTATGGAATTTGTTTTTCACCTCTAGTTCAGCCGAGTCATTCCCAGAATCCTCCCCTGGTTAGCTGAAGTAGCTGGAGAGAGTAAGAATTTTATAGGGGCAACAAGGCCCTTGTTTTGTAAGGTTTTTATGGCTACAGTATTCCCACAGTCCTTCCCATCACCATCAGGGCTTGATTTGGAATATTATCAAAACATCAGCTGCAAAAATCAGAATCACTTTTAGAGTAGCACAGTGATGCCTTCTCCCTCAATCATGGTATAGTTTGCACTCAGGTTTTGCGCTGTCAGAGTTAGTAAAGTGGAATTTCTCAGGTAAGTCATTGTTAAAGTCAGATTTATTTAGTGGAGTTCCTCCAGTAAATCATTACTGAAATCAGATTTATTTAATGGAATTTCTCAGGTAAATCATTGCTGAAGTCAGATTTACTCAGTGGAGTTCCTCAGGTAAATCATCGCTAAAGCCAGATTTATTTAGTGGAGTTGTTCAGGTAAATCATGGCTGAAGATTTCATTTCAGATTGAAATAAAATTCAGCTCCAGAATAATTTTTGAAAATTTGAATACAGAAATTAGAATTAATGCCGTCTGTTTCCATAAAAATTGAAGGTTGGCCTTTCTGAGCACAAAGCCACTCTGAATGCCTTCACCTTACTGTAGTGTAATTATTCTGATTATTTAGATATAATAATTATTATATATATTATTTTTATTTATGGTATTTATAATAATTCTGAATTTGAAAATGTCTCCCATCACCTGCATTATATCCCTGTATGGATGGTCAGGGATAGAAATGCTTCAAAGGAAAGCATTGACTCCTCCTGTAAGAAATAACCTTGAAAAATTATAAAAGAACGAAATGTAAAGATGTTCAAAATACTCTCTAATCACAGAATMATTAGGGTTGGAAGGGACTTTTGGAGATCACCTTGTCCAACCCTATTATTTTCACATTTTTTGCACTCAACAAGAGCAGGGTTTATTGCCGTGGTTTTGGCAGAGCTGCTCTCTCGTTATAAACACTCCGGGTTTCGCAGCTGCCGCAGCTTGAAAATGAACCTGAATTGCTTTGTGATGTTTTGGAACAACGTTAATCACCTAAAGAAACAAAAATATTTGGACAAACCAGGCTCTGGCACTTCAGGCTGTTTCGGGATGGTGTCAAGCATATCTGTAACCCAAATAATAGCAGTAACTGCTCCCCTGCTTCAGCTTCCTTCAAGTCAAACACAACTCTGGATTTAACTGCTTTCATGAATGAGCCTCAAAGTTCTGCTGAGATTTCAGGCTGCTGCTGATTTTAGCCAAAACACCTTGGTCAGACTGGATTTCCCTCCTCTTCTCTGCTTTACTTTCAGTCACTGCGAGAATTGAACAAAAACAGTTACAAAAATATGCAGAAAGTCAAAAAAACCCACCACATCCTCATTTATTCAGTCTTATTATATATAGGGGGTTTCTTTGTGATTTAAGGTGTATCTGAAACTGTCAGAGAACCTCAAAAAGTGCAGAATTGGGATCAGCTCTGCCCCAGAACTCACAGGAAACCCTTTGTGAGAACTCCTTTAAGCAGCACTCCAGTTTATCCCTTTCCAATCCAGAGCCAATCCTCAGATCCCATCCACATCTCCTTGCTTAGACCAATTTCATCAATTAAAAATCACCGATGAGCACTGAGGTACTGCTGTGAGGTCAAATGGAAACCCTCCTTTCTCAGAAGAGAGGAAGCAGCAATGGAAATTTAAAAAAAAAAAGGAATTAGGTAGTGCCAAGGTAGGCTCTTGAGTAGCAGAATCAAGCATTTATTCATTTATGGGCATGGATATCCAAGAACCAAAGGAAACATTAAAATATAAACAAATTAAAATAGAAATCTAYTAAAATAKAAATCWATTAAAATATAAAWCTATTAAAATATAAARATATTACAATCTGAGCTTGCTCYRTMGGAMAGAAGATGGGATCAGAYAYCAAATGTGTATCYCACAGAGGAGCAAATAAATAATTTCTGCCTGGGGTTTTGTCCTCATGRCACTCTTTGACCTCACCATGATGGACCTCAGCTCACTGACAGGAGAATTTTATTTCCCTTCTCTGTGTTTAAGTTAAAAATGAGCAAAAGTGGAGCTTTTCTCACTGCCTAGAGCACGTTAAATGCTCTTCTTGAGCTCGTGTTCCTCTAATTTGCTGCTTCCTTTGGTTGCTGTTGTGGACTGTGGAGGAAAAGGAGGCGTTTCAGACCAAAAATAAGAAATGGTTTTGTCCTTTCTGAAAGATGCTGTGGGAAAACAAACAAACAAACAAACAAAAAGAAAACAAAAACAAAAAAAACAACAAAAAAAGGAAAATATTAAAAAGAAAGAAAAAAGAAAGGAAAAAAGCTACATCTTTTGAGGATAAGGATAAAGACTGAAGGAAATCCTGCATATTCACAGCCAGTCTGCAGGAATAGGGTAAAAAAAAAAATGCAATAAAAACCCAACAAGAATCTGCTGCTCTTTTTCAGTCTCATCCCACATCACCATTTCCTCTTCAGGACAAAACCGCACCAGTGGTTCTTCTTTCTGTTTCCGCTTCCACTGAAAGTTTTGCTGCTCAAGCTGGGATGTGTGGGCTCCCTTTTGAGCATTTGGATGCATTTTAATGGATATTCCTCATGGYTATTTATTGGGCATTGGACGGAAGCTGGCTTGGTCCAATTAATTCTCTGCAAAAGCACTTGAAGTTGTGTTATTGAAGAGCAAAAAAAAATATGGCCCTGGTCATGATGGCAAAATGATTCGATTTTTGCAGCCACGTCCCCTCCTCCATTCAAACCAGTGCCATTGCACTTTTGCCGATTTCCGAAGCTTTGGAAGGGAATTTTAAAAAAATAAATTGCTGGGAATTGTAAGGGAGGGGGCATCTGATCCTCCTTAGGTTGTCAAGTGCTGCTTTTTTCCAGTGGCTCGCTGGAGAGCWGACAGCCAGGGAGCTTCAAAGCAGGGAGGATCTGCTTAGCATCACCATCTTCAATCCAACGGCGACGCCAAATCTGACATCTGGCCGCCGGGTTGGAGGCGAGGGCCATTCCACATCACATCCACGGCAGCATCTGCCAAAAACCTCGTGGGCCAAAGGCATTTTTCTCCACGGAAAATTGCKCCTTTTGGAGAGATCAGAGATTGGGGGATGCTCGTGCCAAGCCGTCAAAGCTCTGAAAAAGCACGTAGCAGATACAACTGCCTGCAAATCAGATGTTTCTGCTGCAGGATCTGGTTTTGAAGCTTCTTCCACTTTTTCCCAGCTGGCCTAGTCATCAAAAAAAAAAAAATTAAAAAATCAGTGGAGGCAACTGTATTMTCAGTCAGGGAAAGTTCTTTTGTACCCTGGAATGAAGAAATTGCTGCTGTGGGCACCACAGGACCCTTTGTGCTGTCGGGCCTTCTGAACCACCTCCATGAAGCTTGGGGCCACAATCACACCAAAACTCAGGAAACAGGGAAAAAGACTGAGAAAATCTGTGGGAAAAAAATCCCCAGGTTCAGCCAGCACCTACTGGAAGAAAAAAATGACATTTTGCAAAGGGTGTTCCACTGGAGACAAAGAGGTCTGGGAATCGGTTTTTCTCACCTCTGTTTTTGGAGAGAGAATCATGGAGAACAATCAGCCTTGGGTGATTTGAGATGAGGGTTCAGACCAGGACAGAGCACAGAAACTGAGATAATCTAAAAAATACCTTTTCATGGGCTTGTACAGAGGTTGCCTTAAAATAAGAACTCTTCTATCTTTGCCTTGTTTGACACAGGGAATAAAAAGGAGGGAGAGGGACTTCATGTAGGGGCAGAGAGTGACAGGACAAGGATTTTAAAGTAAATGGTTTTAAACTGCTAGAGGGCAGGGTTAGATTAGAGATTAGGAAGAAATATTTTGCTCAGAGGGTGGGGAKGCCCTGGCATGGGTGAAGTTGTGGCAGCCCCTGGATCCCTGGCAGTGCCCAAGGCCAGGCTGGACATTGGGCCTGGACAGTGGGAGGTGTCCCTGCCATGGCAGGGGTGGCACTGGATGGGATTTAATATCTCTCTAAACCCAAACCCTTCTGGAATTCTCTGATTTACAACCTGATGATTCATCCTCAGCCCAGCAGGATTTGAGATTACAAAAACAAAGGCGAACAGGCAGAGGCCAGCTGGTGGCTGTGATGCTTCAGCTTCTTCCAACTTCTCTTGGGCTCTGAAAATGATAAAGGACAATGTTTTTTTTCTGGATTAAAGTGAAAATATTCCACACTGCAGGAGGGCAAAAGCCATCACTCTTGTGGATGTCTTAAAACCAGAACACCTGATCATTAAACCATAATATTTATGTGTCAGTGGCCTCRGCATCTCTATTTATTTCACAGCAGAAATACCAAATGTGGAGTTAAAATCAGAGCAGGGAATCACAGCAGCAAAGTTTCCAAGCTTTTCTCGAGCACRTGGCTGAATCCCTGGCTGAATTTGTGATCTGAAAGGGCCATTTCTGATGAGAACTCGGCTTCCTCCAGCTTCTACTTCTTGTGGCAAAATACACACCTAGAAACGGAAAAGAATAACTTGAAAGATTCTTGTTTCTAGGAGGTTGCTGGGGTGATCAAGGAGAAATTGGAACCAGGTTCCTGTTTAAATTCTGGTGCTAATGACGTAGTGCAATTCTTTCTGAAATTAATGGAGCTTTGCATATTAAAAAGTTTAAAAAATGGCACAATTGAGTTATTTCTGCTTCCTCTGTTATCCACAAAGGCTTTGCCAGTCTATTACAGCACAGGGAATATTTAATTATTAATGGGCATGGTTACGTCAGCATCCAATAGAGGGGAACTCCAAAACTTTTAAGACATTGAGTAAAATCATTAGAAAAACAGAAAATCCATTTTAAAAGAGGCATTTAAGTGTCCAGGGCTTCCAGTGAACCTCACACAAAACAAGAGTTTGGGTCTAACTTGAGAAATGTGCTCAGTGCATCATTTTTCCTTTCACACAAAACTTCCAAATGTGCCTTGGAGGAGTTGTTTAACTCACAAACTGCTCAGAGGAGAGGGCAAAAAAATTATTACTCACATGGTACAAGAGAAAAGTATTTCTCTCACCATTTATAGACAGGAGTGCACAGAAAGGAAAAGCTTCATAAGCCAAGCAGAAAACAGTAAAATCAACTCACATTACTTTGAGAGTTCACTCCCATGCAGAAACTGAAGAGAAAACTAAGAATGCCTGGTAGATTTTAGAGGAAAAGCGTGAATAGACATCCTAGGCTCATGCTCTTGAAAAATTAAGAATCTGGCTTTGGATTTTCTGAGAATTCCCAGTTTAGTTCTTCCCCAAAGTCTCGGTGCACATTGTAATCTGCATATGTATTATTATCTACCTTCAGTGATGGCAATATCTGAAAAACAGAGATCCAGCATTCCTCAAGAGGTGTTTATGCAGCATTTCAAGAGATGTTTTTAATATTTTATGTCAGTTCTTCAAAGAGCAAAGTCTTTAAYGTGACACATCCTGGATATCACAAAATTTCATTAATTAGATACTGACATGTCACCCCCTAATACCCTATCTAATATCTAATTAGATATCTAATATCTTATCTAGATATAAAATATACCACAAAGAGATGTCACGAATTACAGAAAGAACAGAATTCTGTAAAATGAAACCACCTTTGAGTTCAACTTTGATGTTCTCCTTGCAAGGACAAATGTCCAATGCACTCCCATGGGACAGGCAGAATAATTTCAGTTTATTTCCATTTATTTATGTTTATTCTGCTTGTTATTATATGACTAAAATAATTCTATTATCTTAATAATAATTTTAATAATCCTATTATTTTAATACTAGTTCTAATAATTCTAATATTTTAATAATTCCATTATTTTAATACTAGTTATAATGATTCTATTATTTCAATACTAGTTTCAATAATTCCATTACTTTAATAGATCTAGATAATAATTAGATAACAAACAGATACATGTATATATTTATATAATAGATCTATTTATAGGATTTATATATTTATGTATAAATTTATAATTTATAACTTATATATAATATATAATTTTTATATAATTTAAATTTATAAATTTATAAATTATATTTCTATAATAAGAAATAATTCTTGGTTATTTTAATTCATTATTTTAATCATGGAATTGTTGATAGGTATCAATGTTATACAGTTTTTTGAAAATACTTTGATAAATTTTTGAAAAGAGCTTACTTAAGGGGTAGGTTGTTGATTTCAGGTCGCATTTCCTAGCGTTTCTTTGGTTTAATTTCCCTGATTTTAACCATGATAATAATGTCAGTGACTTCTAATTATTCAGWCAATTAAATAAACAGCTCATGGTTAGTAATTAACACATTTTCTCTCCCCCTCAAGTGCCCCTGGCCAACAGGAGGTACAGCCAGGACGCGCTGGCCGAACCCTTCCCGAGCTGCGCTGCACCCGTGCCGGGCAGGTACAAGGAGGAGCTCTACGACTGCGGCCTCCTGAAACCCAACAAAACAGAATCCAGGATACAGCCCCCTCCCCACCTGATCAAGGAGGAGAACAAGCTGCCTTTCAGCAGAGAGCTGCAGGACAAAATGAGTGTGGCCGAGGGCTCTTTCTCAAACTCCATCGGCGGCTCCCTGCTGCCCAAAGCMGAGTGCTGCCAGGCCAAAGCCGTGGGACAGCTGAGCCACCTGCTGCCCGTGCCCTCGGTCTACGAGCAGGGCAGGAGGATTTGTGGCAAAGAGCCCAAATTTGGGCACGTCGGGCACCACCACACAGCTGGCCTGGAGGAGCTGGAGGGCGGCGAGAGGATGGGTGCCAAGCTGCAGCATGGCGCCGACAGCGAGCGGGTGATGGAGGTGAGGCCTTCGGGACAAGTGCCCTTCGTGCTCCTCAACTACCACCATGTGCTGGCCAAGCACGGCGCCTTCCAGAGCTCCTCATGTGCAGCCGTGGGSCACACGGGGGAGGGTTACGGGTACAGCTCCGAGGAAGTGAACGCCTTCACTTACAAGAACCAGAGCCCCTCATCCACTTCTTCTCCCGAAACCCACAAAGAGTCGGCACTGCCCCATTACATCGGGACTTCGGTCATAATCGCCAACGGCAGGTGACGGTAGCAGAGGAGGCTTTCGTGTTTAATTGAGAAGCCAAACTGTAATGATTCGCAAAAATAATTAAAAAAAAAAAAAGCATGAGGAAACATGGTCCCATCTCCTGAGCAAAGCTGGGGGTCAGTGAGGGACAAACTGGTGAGTTCCCGGCACGCCACCAGTGCCAGTGGCCAGGAAAGTCCCCTCCATCAGCTGCCGTGCTTCGGTGTCACCAACAAAGCTCCGGTGCCAGGGGGAAGCCAAGTTCCAGATCTTATTTTTGTTATTTCATGGTGTGCGACAGAAGGAAATGATAGGTGTTATATGCAGAGGTTTATATGAAGTATGATTTTTTTTCCTTAACCCATCCTCAAAATAAACTTTTTTTTTTTTTTTTTTTTAATCATTATCATGGAATATACACTCTAGCTTAGGGTTTTTTTGGACAAATCGTGTGAAACCTTGCATCAACTTTCTGCCCAACCCCCTGACAAATGGACTTTATCGAGAGAGTGGTGATTTTTAGCAACCACAACACAGCTGTACTACCCAAACGGAGCTCGGTTAGAAAAAAAAAATCTTATTTATTAATTACAAAAAAGGTCTAAAGCTAAATAAATCAAAGCTAAATTTGATTTATTTCACATAGATTTCAGCGTTCTGAGATTGTTGCCACCACCATTTATCTTAACAAGGGACAATATGACAAATTAATAGGTACAAAGACAGGTATTACAGGGTTACAGGTCTTGTCACGGCAAATTGGAACAAATTACGGAGCAGGAACGAATTCTCCACAAATAAGAAAAGGAAACTCCTAAATCCTGTGTTTCCCTGAGTAATTCTGGGGGAAGGCTGTGCAGATTTTCAACCCCACCAGTCACAAATACATCTTAATAAAGGCACCAGCAATGTTTTCTTTATAGTCCAGAGAAGAATGTTCATTTCTGCCTTATTTTAAATTTACCASCAGAACGTTGAGCTTTGAGAGGTTCAGCTCTTTACACACTGAACTTCCTCTGGCATAAATCCTGTTGTCAGCACAAAGGCAGGTTTGGAATTCCCYGATTTGAGCACTTCACAAATCCCAAACAGTACCTTTGAAACACTCACACTTGGCCCAGCCAGTCAGGAACAGATTTTCACCCCTTTATTTTTAATTATTTGCAGAGAAGCCAAATGGATCTGTGAGTTTGACTGACACCACCCAGCCCACAGTGGCTTTCAGCCCCTTCCCCCAAACATTGTATGRATAAAACAACAAATGTCCCCCTGAAAAATGAATGTCACTGTAAATCCCAGTCAGCTCCATTTCTTACCTCAATCCAAGCCTAATTCAGACTCTTTCAAACTCTTTCTCTTATCAGACTCCACAGAGAACTTCACTGAAGAAAGYTTGAGCAGCCTGGGGTAGTGGAATGTTCTCTGCCCGTGGCAGGGGCTGGTCCTAGATGAGCTTTAAAGTCCCTTCCAAYCCAAACCACTCCATGATTCTTTGAAGAAAATCCTTACCTGGATTGTGTGATATGGAAAAAAACACTTGCTCATGGATTGCACCTTATCAGATAAAATCAGAGTAGAATGCACAGCWCTAAAAATTCTCCTTTTTTATGCAGCAATAATTCATCACAGAGCAGTTTGGGTTGGGAGGGACCTCAAAGCTCGTCCAGTTCCACGGGCAGGGAACTTTCCATTAGAGCACAATGAAAAAGGTACTTCCTTCTATTTGTGAATATTTATTGCTGTGAGTACAAAAAAATACTTTGGAGGTAAATGATTGAAAACAATTTTCAATCTTTTCATTGCGCCCCATCAAAGGTTAACAGGGAAGGTTTTATTATCAAGATAAATTAATGTTCACTTGCAAGTGAACTTGAACTGAACACTCTCAGCTGTTTTTTTCCAATCGCATGAARAATATATTTTGAGCTAAATAGAACCAAAAAAAGCCAAATCAGTGGTTACCAAAAAACCCCAAACCAGAACCAGACCAGCACAGCCACTCCTCGCTCAGCATAACCTTGGTTTGTGTAAAGCTGGAGAAGCTGGCAGGTGTCCAGAAAAGCCGTAAATGTGGATTATAATTATTCTGACCTCATCAATCAAAGCCACGAGACACCTCTGTTTTCCAGCGAGAAAACTAAGAGGTTTTGCCCTCTCGGTTGAGCCCTCCCAGCCCCTGCTCCTCACAAATGACCCCAACTCCTTAAAAGATATAATTATGCAAAGTCTCACAGGTAATTACGTTCAATTAAATTAAACCCATGCCCTCCAAAGGAGCCACTGGCATGGTTGGCATCATTAAAAAGAAACCTGATGCCCAACCCTCCTGCTGCACTTTATTCCTCATTAGTGGCACCGCTGCACACCACCCCAGTCTGYAGGGTTTGGGTGTTCCTGGAGCCCTGCTCACTATAAAAACATCAAAATTAGGTTTTGGTTGAAAAAAACCACCATCGATATTCTTCAGCACGGTATTTTTCCACCTTGTTATTCCCACTTCCAGGCTTTCTTCCAGGAGCCTGAGCAGAGGAGGTGTTCCATCATTCTCCCCCAGATGTTTTATGGGAACAGGAACTTTCCCCGTGAGGCAGTAACGAATCAATTACGAACCCGCAGCTGATAATGCAGGGGAGGCTTCAGAAAAAATCACAAAAGCAAATGTGCGCAAGATTTTTTCCTGCCATTCAGGAATAGAAACAGCAATTCCCTGTTCCCATCTGGGAGTCAATTATATTGGGAGAAAAATAGGAATTTTGGTCAGTTAAATTACAGACGTTCTCAGTGCACTCCTAGTGTGGAACAGGGCACTGCCATCACAGTGGAATTGTTTTAATGAGAAAAAATATATTTAATAATGAAAAAAAGATGATACTGGAGTGTGAATTGAAATATATTATGGAAAATAATCTCATTTCTCTCCAATATTTTAGCCACACTTTTGTCATGAGATTCAACATGATTTTCACTCTTCAGGGAGTTCAGACCTGGTGAGAAAATCAGATGGAGAATGGGAGAAACAGAGGGACAGAGGGAATATTTTACCAAAATCACAGCAAATTTGGGTCGGGAGGGAGTTCAAAGATCTCATTCCAAGCCCCTGCCATGGGCAGGGAACCTTCCATGACACCAAAGCTGGAAAAATTAATCCCATATCGAGGTCTCCGAGTTTTCATCCCCTTAATGGAAACAGTGCAATGGAAATAAGRTTTTGTCCCCAAAATCTGTACCCTGGGATTTGAAAAAGGGAATCATGAGGGTAATTGAAGGAAATTAAGCACAACTGATGCAAAATGGGGGAATTCATCAACAAAAGTGCAAATGAATGGGATATCTGCCAGATTTTCTCTAGAAATCTCAAAACAGGACACAAATTCTTTTTTTTTTCAGCATTTCAGTAACACTTCAAAACCACAGTGGAAATGTTATTATTCCATTTTTCTCCTGAAGGTTAGATTTTTGCTTTGTTGTTTTTTTTTTTTNTTGGGTTTTTTTTGTTGATTTTTTTTAATATGAAGCAGATTAAAGCTATTTGGCAAGTGTAGGTGAAGAAGCACGCAAAACCAACCAACCTATTAATGCTCAGAATTATATATGTATTCCCTAAAAATGTAAAGCATTTTTGCTTATTTATTATGTAAAACAAAACTGGTAAAATGTTAATAAAATCCTGTAGCCAAAGGAAAACTGAGTTGAATTTCTCTTGTTTTTTACAACAAAACACAGCATTCCACAAAGAACAACAGTGCATATTTGAAAATTTTATTTCAGCTGTGATATGAGCTATAATTGACAATAAAATACAGAGATTTTTTTTCAGATTATTGTATCTTTGCCATGATGCGTTTGAAATSAAGACACTTGGAAGATGCGAATAACACAGAATCACTAATGAGAAACTCAATACCTGACAATTCCTTCCCTGCAGTTCTCTTTTCTCCATCATTTTTTTGACCTCTGCTCTTTCCTGGGCCCGGATTTAATTTCTTTGGTGTCTGATCAAGGCGGTGCATCCCCAGCACCACTTAGGCAAGCAAAAGCTTTTAGCAAAGCAGTTACCCCCAGGAACCAACACAAATCTTTCCCATGATGGAYATTTCCATGACAGAAAGCTCCTGGATATTCCAAAGGAGCTGCAAAAAGTCTCTCTTTTTTTTTATTTTTCAGACTGCTGATGCAGCTGAATCAGAAAGAGCAAAGCAATGAATTTTGTCCAGCGAAGCAGCAGCATAAAGAATTAAATGCTTTAATATTATTTCCAGGTAATAGCCCTTGATTTGCTGGATATATTTAAAACAAAAAAAAAACAAAAAAAAAACAAAAAAAAAAGCTCTGAAGTCTTATAAAATCTTTACTAGAAGCAAGATGTGCTGCTTGAACTCGGAAATGTGAAGTCCATTATGACTTTTTCAAACCTTTGGGCACAACTCACGCCGGCCACTCACATGTGCCAACACACCCTCAGTAAGTTTTCCTCTCAATAAACAACCCCCACAAATGTTTTCACCATGAGRAACGTTCGAACAGAGCCCGGGAGGAAAAAAAAAAAATGAAGTCACAGAAACACGGACAGCGTAATAAATGGGTTTTTTGAAAGCACTTCATCAAGAAAATAGTTTAAGATATGAGCTCAGCGTAGCAATGGAAGAGGTGTTTTACTAATCCAGACAGCTGAATGAAATGAAACATTTTCAGGGCATTATTCCTGGGCCTGGGCTTGTCTGGATCTCTCCAGCCCCACATCCAGGCACACCCTGCACCACATTTGTCTGTCACACATGGAGAAAAAGAAAAACAAGGATTTTCCTGCAAAAATGTTGYGGCTTTCGGGGCGCGTTGAGTTTGGCAGAGGAAGAGTCAGAGTCAGACCTGSCTGTGCCTCTCATTTACCTGTCAGAGGGTCAGGAGCTTCTCCAARGACTCCTCCACAAGGAATTTATCCAGATGCTCCTCATCCCATGAGAATTCTCCTCATCTTTGGTTCTTCTGAAGGAAAAGCAACAACTCCTTCCTCCACAGCCTGGCTGAAGGTGGAGAYGGCAGAAGAGGCCACTGGAAAGGCGAAGTGGATCCCACAGCGTTCCCTGAGCTCTGGCACATCCAGGCTGGGGGTTTTCACCCCCGTGGGAAGGACATTCCACCCTAAATTTCTTCCCAAGGCAAAAATTTTTGGAATAACCTGACAACTCCAAGCAGGAACTGAACCATCATCAAGGCAGCTATGAAAGGACCCACAGCAACCAGGAAATGTTGCAGCATTTTGCTGCTGAGAAACCTCTCTGCTGCTGCTCAGCCACTGCAACCGAGTGGAGCCTTGCAAGTCCATTCTGCCCTTCCAAAATTCCCACATTTTACCCTTTTTTCTCATCTTTTTTTTGACCCTGGTGGAGGGTGAACATACGTTTTAAGGATGCAACTCATGTGGCCACTCAGCCTGAGGCATGAGATGGCTGTTAAATCCCTACAGGCACTTCCCAGGCTCTCTGAAACATCAACAAAACCAAAAAGGTGAATCTACAGGCAAATCCTAAAGCTGAGACAGTTTTAGCTACAATGACTGGGTTAAGGTGAAATTTTGTAGAACTTTGTGGTTGGAAAAGCAGCACCAGAGCTCTGCTTTCCTATCCTGCAGCAGCACGGGCTGCTCATGAAGGAAGAGGCAGAAAATAAGTGAGGATGCAGCAGGAAGATGTGAGTGTACATTTTTTTAYAGTTTTATATATAAATTGATGGTTTCTTTTGAGTGAAGCTTTAAGAAGCCAGGCTCAAATTCAGTTGATTACACCACGCAGCAATATTGAATTTTGAAATGAAAGGCAGCTGCCAAACATTCTCAACCCCGAGCAGTTTTGGAAGCATCTGGTAGGGAAAAGCCAAGCCTGTCATATCATTTTAATTATAGCAATTAGCAGCTATCTGTGTGCAGTTCTAGGAGGTGCTGGTGTGCAGCTTTCCATGATTTGAATTGTGGGGAAAACAACCCAGCAGGGTATGGACAATCAGGACAAATCTGGTGTGAGATGGAGCATAAAATCCTAAATGTTACAGGGACAACATAATTTCTACTCTTGCTGCCAAACCACCTAAACCCTAATATGTGAGGATTGGTCAAAATTACCATTTCAGACAAGCTTCCTGATTTTAAGACTTCTTGGCTTCGTAGCTGAAACAATCTGAAATGTTTGGATTGTTTATGAGGCGAACTTTAACCCAAAAACCCCATTTCTGGCTGGCAGACGGCAGTTTCCTCTGTGGAAATCAATTTGGCTGATCCACCAYGAATAAAAAGAAATTAATCTGGCCACATTGCACCTGGACAAACCTGTTCTGCACAAAATGATTTGGGGAGCTGTGGTGGCCAAATCTCCTTGGGAGAAAACCCCGCTGAGGCACTGGAGCTCCCGCGTGGCTGCTCCAGGAGAATTCCCAGGTTGTTCCCCTGCCTGGGAATGCACAGGCAGCCCCCAAAAGGAGCTGCTTTCAGGTCAGCAGGTGTTCAAGCTCTTGCTTTTAGTGCTCAGCAGCAAAACCAGACTCTTCTTTGGGAAAGGGGGCGACAACAGGAYTTGTGCAAGAGAATTTGGGCACGGGTGAATGGTGGTGATTTCTTTTCCACTGGAGTTGTTGTTTGCAGCAGGGAATTTAATTGATTCCCATTATTTATTCACTTCACTTTGTTGAGATCACATCATCATTATTATTAAATTCTAAATGAATTAAAGGTTCCTTCCCCTGAATGTGATTCTGCAATAATTGCAGCTCTGTGACGCTGCTCCAACAGGATTTGTTTCCAGGAGCTAAACCCTCTTGGAAAACCACAATTTAAGGGACAGATGAGATGATTTACTCACATCCAACTGACTGAGGAGAGCAGAGTGCAAATCACTTGGATAACCAAGCACAGCTCCTAAGTGCTGATGGAAAACTCTCCCARAAACTCAAGGCAGCCATTAAGAGTCGCAGCCCTGAGGTCGAAGCACAGGTTGGTAAGTAGTTGTACAGGTCTACAGAAGAGAAGAAATCAGCAAAGATCTTCCCTCAGACCTGGAGTTAAGCACAGTGGTGATCCCAGCAATTCCAGGAATATTTGATGTTCCAGCTGGTTTTAGTGCAGACAACTCATGAATCGGAATTTAGTTTAAAAAAATAAAGTAAAAAAGTAAATCTTGTCCTGCACTGTGCTAAAGTACCATAAAAACACAGAAAGAAAAAAGGAATATTAAGAAAGAAAAGAAAAGAAAAGGAATATTAAGCCACTTCAGTGTCTTCAGTACAGGGTGTAAAAATAAAGAGAAAGATCTGTTCACTTCAAAATATTCGTTTGCAATCAGACTCCTTTCAAAAAGCAGATCCTTACCAAGAATGGCAACAGAGGTGTGTGTTTTAAAGTTAATAAAAATAAAAACCATCAGCTGGGAGATCACCACCTCTCTCCAACTGCTGCAGTTACCCATGTGAGACACAGAGACAGCAGCAAATCAGAAGGGAAAAAAATCAAACTTTGAAGGGTCCTTCCCAGCTGGAACGGGTTTGGGGGGCAGTCAGTGCTTGGGGACAATCAGGTTCCTCAGCATGTCGAAGGAGTTGCCGTCGGGGTGCACGGACTCGACGCCCTGGCCCTCCTGGTGCACCTGCAGGTATCCGTAATCGTCAATGCCAACGATCCAGGCCAGCGGCCCCTCCTCGTCCCGCAGATGGACCTGCTTCCCGCTGCACACAGAGAATTCCATCAGTCCCATGCATGGACCATTAAAAACACCTCAGGGGGCCCATCAGGATCACTGGGTGAATCCCAGACTGGGCTGGGTGGAAGGGACCATAAAGATCATCCCATTCCAATCCYAACACCTCCCACTGTCCCAGGCTGCTCCCAGCCCCATCAGCCTTGGGCACCAGGGATCCAGGGGCCTCCCACCCTCACCCTCTAACAGAATGTTTATATTTCCCACCTCACTCATTCTTTACAGAATGACTTTCAGCATTTCAGAATGACTTTTCAGCAGCATTTCCTACCTGCTTTCATTTCCTTTTGTAGAACAAAAGGAGTTGGAGTTAATCCAAACAGCCTATTTTTAATTTTTTTTTTTCCCCAAAAGTACAGCAGCTCCATCCATCTCCAAACAGATCATTCCCAATTCCCTCTGTTTGGAGATGACACGTGTAAAATATCTGGAGGCTTTCTTTAACCCGTGATAGTCCACCGATTTTGGTACGTGCTGCTTTTATTCTCCCTTAAAAATGTGCATCTTTGTATATTAAAATACACTTGCTTAAGTGTATTTTAATTATTCACTCACTTTCAAGGGAATTTAGTGGGAAAAGACCAAACATCCACGAGTTCTTCCACCAATTTAATGAAAAGGCAGCTTGAGCAGAGCACAGCTCTCACCTGTGTATCCAGTACTTGTAGTACTGGGGCAGAACTGCATTGGGGCCCTTCTCCTGGAACAGCTCGATGAGCCCCTCCAGCACGGTGACAGTCCTGGCAATCAGGCAGTCCGCGCTCAGGGGCTGCAGCTTGGCCCCCTCCTCCCTGTTGAACTTTGCAATCAGGTCGTTGATGCAGATGGTGGGGTTGCTGTTACTCACATTAAACCCAAAACCTGCCAGGGACAAAGGGAAGGACACGATCAAAGGGGTGAACTCCTTGTTCCCACCCCAGCCTTCACCCACCTGCTCCATTCCAGGATCCCTCACAATGGCTCCCAGAGCTCTTTTACTTCAGTCTCCTGCACCTTTCAACCTTCCAGTCCTTTTAATTACAATTTTCAATTCAGATTTTGCTCCTTGCCTTTAAAAAACCTCCTGGGAATGGCAGAAGCAGCCCCAGTATATCTTTTCTGCCACACCCCACCCCACAATTTGCTTCCAATTTTGCAATTTGCTTCCAAAGCCACCAAAGTGAGACATCTTTGATTCCCTGGAAGCTGCCAYGTCCTCAGCCCACTCAGAGGACAACTGATCTTACTCAAAGATGGAGTTTTATCTTCCAATCTAAAATTTAACTCAGAGAACTTTCTCTTTACTGCCCTTCCCAAAACTGCAATCTTTTCTCTCAGCTGATAACCCTTGTCTGGCATGGCCTGGAAAGCCCAGAAGAYTTGACTTTAACTTTGTGAGACTCCAGTTTGCCTAATTCCATCCTTTAGAAGCYTTTTGCCTCTCGCTGAGATTTCTCCAGCTGGAACGATGCTGGCAGAATTCCTCCCCCATTTAAATACGGCTCTGGGGGCCTTTCCTGCAGCCTGCTGGAACAGGCTTCGAGGCATGTAAAGAAATATATTGTATTACCTGTTTATTTTCTTTCTCCTAATGATTTGGGGTTTTTTTTTGCCTTTCTTTAGGCACTTGGGATAAACCCTCTGTCTGTCAATCAGGTTTGATGATCTGCAAGRAGGGGCAGATGTCTTGATTTGTAAATTTACTATTAAGGATTAATAAATGGAAGTAATGTGTATTAACTGCGAGAAGGAGCTCTTTGGTGAAAAGGAGTTTTTGAGTTTTAACCGGTCAGAGAATGCACACAAACGAGGCACAGCAGACCCAATGCACCAGCCCTGTGGAAATGAGCKGAACTGGGTTACTGGATGAAGAGAAAGGAAAATGAACTGGAAAATGCAAGGAGCTGCGCCAGCAAACCCCAACTCGGCCGCCTGCGCTCAAACACAGCGCGAGGGAGGAGGAACAGTGGCCATCAAGCTGGGCTGCTGCTGGCAGGGGTCACAGGGCTCTGTCACMGCCACAGGGCACTGAAACCCTGCTCACAACCCCAAAGTGGGACCCTAAGGCAGCAACATCTGGGAATGGCACAGTGGGGAAGAGGCAGCCGGGGATCAGAGAAAAACGGGGGGCTCAGGGCTTTCACAGGAGCAGAGAGAGTCCAGCAGCCGCTGTGCAGCGCTGATGTGGCTGATGGATGTTCCAGTGGGGGATCCACGAGAATCTGGGCTCCTCCTGGACGTGCCTGAGCAGAGGCAGAGGAGCGTTCCCAGGTCACGCTCGCTGGCTGTCCCCCACATTCCACCGGCGCTTGGCTCCCACGCCTGCTCCGAGTCTGGCCCTCCCATTAATGGTGCATGCTCTTCTCAGAACTCCTCTTCCACAAGTCCCAACACCACAAAGTTCTTTGTTTTTCAATTTCAGCTTGAAAAAAAAGGGGGGGGTTTGGTGGCTTTGGTTTTTTTTTTTTTTTTTTTTTTTAAATATACTTAAAGTATGAGCACTGTGGTGCCTGCAAGGCCTTGAGCACTGGAAACACGAGTTTGTCTTTGATCTGATTCTCCTGAGGTCCTTCTTGGAGCAGTGAAGCCACAGAGATGATCTTTGATTTTGGTAATTATCTTGATTTATGGGAGATTCTCAGGAATGCCATGGGAAGAGTGAGTTCAACACCTGGAGGTGGCACTGAGTGCTCTGGGATGGGGACAAGGTGGGCATCRGGCACAGCTGGCACTCCATGGGCTGGGAAGGCTTTTCCATCCTCAGGGATCCTGGGATTCTGTCCAGGTAAGGAATTTGCACGGCTGTAGAAAAGGGGTGATGGATCTGGCACAGCTTTCTTGATGGGGAAGTTCAATCCCAACACCCCTAAAACTTTGTRACGAATCCCCTCCACAACGCCCGATGACACATGCAACACTGGAGTGATGGGAACGATCCTTGGATTCATAAATAGCCAACAAGTTCCAATTTTCAAAGCTCTCACGTGAAAATGTCCATTTATCCACACCTCAGACCTAGCAGGTGACTCCCACTGGCTCCAGAAAAAAAGCGGACACGGAAAGTTTCCATTTGAACTGGAACGCTTTGGTKTTTAGGTAAGAAATATGAAATACTTGATATAATAAATTCTTTTTGGATCCATTTCTGCTTTCCTTGTGTTACCCAGGACAGGCACAAGGAAAACATGGAAGCTGTAAATGGTTGATGGGGCACAGAGAGACTTCTTCAAGTTGGGGTGGAATTTCCATTCTGTTGATGCAGATTATTTTCAAAATGAAGATACAAAATCCAACAGCAAATATCATGGCTGGGCAGGTTTCACAGAAGGAAGTGAACTCAACTCTTTTGCTTGTTTTAATCTCTAAAACCCCAGAATTTTAACAAAAACAACACCACGGCCACACCATCCTTACCTGTGCTACATTCAAATATAARCCAAATGTCATCACCTTTTTCTTCAACCTTTTAGACTCGCTAAGGAATTTCTTTTCCATTGTTTTAGACACAGAAGAGACAATTCTTTTTTGGAACCAGAATCTGGCAGGTTTCTAAGCAGATCTGGGATGCTGCTGGTCAGGGGAAAAACTTCCTTATCAAACCGCAGGATGATTATCAGACTAGAGATGATAAAAACATCTTGACAATTAAAAAATTAAAACATCGCTCTGTGTGCGTAGTTCTTTGACTTCTGATTTAAAAGGCATGTTCCTCATTTAACTCAAAAAATAGATATAAATTAAAAAATAGATATAAATTGGGGGAAGAAAAGGATGGAGTTTTTMGTATATTCCACTGGTTTTGCAATAAATCAAGGAAGACCATTTCCCTGTCCCATGTACTGCTCTTTCTTTGAACTCGACTCCATCAGTCCAGATGCMTGCATTCATGTTTGCCTTGTCAAGCATATGGAATTATTAAGAAGAACGAAAACATTTACTTTCTGTACTTCCTCTGAATGTAACTCTGTGCTTTATTTCCTTTTGCCTGCTGTCATTATCTGTTCTCGTCGTTGCCATTGGAACTGATACAGACATTGACAACAAAACCCCTTGGAAAAAAAMCAAAACATTTACCAATGAGGATGTGAAACGTTGTTTCAACAAGTGTTGAATTCACCAGAACTCCACCGAGCTTCATCAGATCGCTGTAGTAAATGTCATTGGGCCACTTAACCCGCAGCTCGATGTCCTAAAAAGACAAAAACGGATATTTAGGGACAATTATGGCTCATTCATCACCCCATAGTCCGTAAGGAAACCCTGGATTGGTTTGGGTGGGGAGGACCTTAAAGGGGTCATTTAATTCCAACCCCCTGGCATGGCAGGGACACTTCCCAGCCCCAATGTCCAGCCTGGCCTTGGGCACTCAAAGGGATCCAGGGGCAGCCACAGCTTCTCTGGGCACCCTGTGCCAGGGCCTGCCCACCCTCCCAGGGAACAATTCCTGCCCAATATCCCATCTGGCCCTGCCCTCTGGCACTGGGAAGCCATTCCCTGGCTCCTGTCCCTGCAGCCCTTGCAAATTGTGTCTCTCCATGGTTCCTGTGGGCTCCTTCAGGCCCTGCAAGGCCACACTGAGCTCAGCCCAAAGCTTCTCCTGTCCAGGCTGAACAATCCYAGCTCTCCCAGYCYTTCCTCCCAGCACAGCTGCTCCATCCCTCTGACCATCCTGCTGCCTCCTCTGGGCTCTCTCCAGCAGCTCCACGTCCTTCCWGTGCTGGGTTAGAGTTCTGGGATCTCATCAGAGCAGGGCAGAGGGGCAGAATTTTCTCTCCCTCTTTGCCACACCCAGTATGACGCTGCCGACTGCTCCTCAGAATGAGAATCCATTGCTCCACAAACATCACTGAAAAGGTGACCCTGCCTGAGGAACCGTGCAGGAACCAGCCAAGGAGACAGCGACATCCTGAATTTCGGGGAAGAAATTCAGCAGACAGGAGAAATCCCAGTCCCCTACTCCATAAACACTCCAGAAATGTCCTRAAGACATTCCCATTTTCAGCTGGAAACACGAACCGCACTGCATGATAACACCCCAGCTCCATGGAGAGCTTTTGTTGGAGGGCTGAGCTGAGCTCTGCAGCAGCTCCTTGGACACAGAAGGGAAGCAAAAATGCATCCTGCAGCCTGAAACCCTGCCCACGGCTGCTGCATCCCCCGGGCCACATCAGGGATGGCGAGGGCTGCGTTCCTCCTCTTGCAGAGGGCAAAATCCCTTTACGGGATGTGTGAAAGCTGCACCTGGGCCTGTGACCACCTTCCTGACAGATTTAAWGGCCAGGGAGGAGTCCATTACACGTCCACTGACAGGAAACTCTACCTGATTTTGCTATAAAAGCATTCTGAGGGAAAGTATCACCGACTCAGGTTTGTTATGGGAAGGAACCCRGCTCATTGCACTGGGGAAAGGTTTATAGGAGACCCTGGAGAGGTGGGAGGTAGGACACAGCGAAATGGTGTTGTCAGGGATAAAAGGGGTGTGTTTCCCTCAGGGGACACAGGAGCTCTGTGGCTGAAGTGACAACAGGCAGGAAGAACAGCCACGGCAACCGGGTGTTCCCAGAACTGGGCCACAGAATGGATGCAACAGCTGCCACACAAATGGCACAGAACACGCTGGAAACAGAGAATGCTCTTTCTCTCACCAGAGAGAGATTGTGCTGCTCTCAGAGTGGGAGAGCAAATTATCCTCTTGATTTAAGGCCCATTTGCATCCTCAGCATCAATGTCTGATTGTGAAACTCCCAACTAAAACCTCCCTCAGATCTGCTCTGGGAGCTCCCGGCAAATCTGGGCTGCTGCTGGGTCAGCGCAACCCGAAAAACACTGACTGAGAAACGGAGACAGGAAGGACAGGGACCCTCAGGAG